CTCAAATTTTTTTACTCTATGCGACAGCATAGAAATGTACTATGCGGTCGCATAGGTATAATCTGGGGGCCGTTTTGCAGTTTCCTTATACGATTGAAACTCCTTTGGTAACCTAATTTTCACGCGATTTAAATACGAAAGAACGTCCAGAAGAAGGGGAGAACATAATTAGAGGCACAAAAACACAATTTTGGAGGATTTGGAGAGGAAGAACAAGGCAAAAACAAGGCAATCCACTTCAAGATTCAAGATTTCACTTCAAGAATCAATTGGGTGATGTTCTTCATTGGTTTTAATTGTTGTTTTTCTTTATTTCCAATTATGTTAGGCTAGATTTTTCATGTGCTAGGAGATCGATGTACCATGTGATTTGAGTTTTATATTTCTAGTTTTGCAATTTGACATTAAAACATATTTCTTTTGTTTTGAATGATTTATATGCATTTATTGTTTCCGCAATTAAGGGCCCGTAATTGTGTGAGTTTGGGTGATTTATTCTTGCATTCGAGAGAATTGGAATAGATTCGACATAATATAAATCATCGTAGGGTCCGATAGGGGATAGAAATATACCGCTATGCCCTACGTGAATCTTTAAGTGTTCATAAAACTACATGCATTTTTACATATGCACTTGTCATAGAAATATAGGCCGGTGGTATGTAGAAATAGGTTTGATACATCTCGAGAGAGAGTATGGATAGACTTAGGAACATTGATTCGTCAACAATTGAATTATGTTGTCATATTGTGAAACTAGAGTTTAAAGTGATAATTGCATGGGAAATCGTGATCCTAGTGTGTTTAATTTCTATTGATTACAACAAACGTGCGTTCTCAACAATTGATTTCATTTTAGAGTTTTAAATTATTGTTTTGCTTATTAATTTCATTACAATCATAAAAGCTGCATAAGTAGGGTTTTCTTTCCAATTTTAGAGTTTTAATTAGGTCCACATTCATTTTGAGTAATTTGGTTTCGGTTAAGGTCGAATAAGTAAAATTGAACTAACCAATCTCTGTGGGACGATACTCGGACTCATTGAATCCACTTTATTACTTGTTAACGAACCGTACACTTGCGGTAATTTAAATCGAAAGAAAATATTTCGCGAACACCAACCAGAGCCGATGTTACAAAAATGAATAAGCTTAAGCACCAGCAAGCCAGCTAAAACTGACAATGTCCCAACTTCAAGATTCCCAAGATCCGTGGTCTCAATCTTTTGATCCTCTTGACCTTGACAATCTTGAGAAATTGGAATGACAGCTTGAAGAAGAAAAGGAAATGGAGAGAAAAGAAAATATGCCGTGGTGAAAAACACCAGGATTACCATCAGACTATGAAGACTCGGATGAACCAGCCATAGCAGCAAATCTAGGCACTCCATAATTTGCAATAGACCATCTCAGATCAAAGTATTTTATCGTTTTGTATGAGTCATCTGTCGTTTTGCAAAATAATTGATAAAACACCTTTTGCTTTATTAAAGTAGGATCTATTTCAGTCAAAAGTTGTGTGTCCACTTGTATAATAATTGTACTAGTATCTTGCATGTGTTAAATGTCGTAGACATATATTAAATGTTGTGTACTCAAGTCATGTGTCATGTTTGTTCGGTTGTTAAAATTATATTACTATTGAAAGAGACTCTTCTCCTATAAAAGTGGACTCTCCTCCTTTGTTGTGGATCATCGAAATATTTTCAGAAAATAAATCCTTGAGTTCCTTTAGATCATGAGTTTCTAATTTCTCTTATTTCTCATTGGAATCCGGAGTACTAATATTAGTTTTATCAGTCATGTAAAACCAGCAATTTGAGTAGTAACAAAAATATGCTCTGCTATTGCCTTTTTTGAGGATCCTTAGCATCAGAAACTGTGCTGCAGACTAAACGATCTAGAAGGGAGATTTGCAATCCTAGGAGTTAGGCCCTGTATTTATATGCCTCAGATTTGACTATTTGTTGTGGGCTAGAATAATTGAATTGCATTTCTCTCTACGAAAAGTTCGATGGCCAACGAGACATTTAATTTAGATTCTTGCGGCAAATCGGCATTTGACCATTCCATTTCTAATAAATTTAGATGGGTTTGACCGATTTGACCGATATGCCAGCAAATTTTAGGGCCACGTAATTCCCTAATTCTACATGGACGGGTAAATCCGCATATATATATATTTTTAAATCTGGGGATATATATATATATATATTTGTAAAATTATAGAAGAGAGAAAGGGATCACTGTTTTAAGAATTCTTGTTAAGGGAGTGCCAGTGGTGTCCTTACAAGAATGGAGTTAGGCTCAAGTTCATATATCTCAGATGGCATGTTTTAAAAAAAAAAAAAAAAAAAAAAGGATATTATTTTACCAAAAGAAAAAGAAATCTCAATTAAGAAGAGTACTGAGTTGGATTTTTCATAATTGTTTTAACAACCCCCCTACAACAGCCTCTAAACCCTTGAAACAATCCTTATTTCAGGGACCCCTCTCTTTTGGTATCAGAGCTTTTGTTCCGGTGCTGGTGATTTCAGTATATTGACTTAGACTTCAGAAAAGGTAAAATTTCTTTTAGAAATTTTTACTTGTTTTATGATTTTTAGAATATTACTTGTAGATTTAGAAAAAATATTCTATAGTTTTACATTTTATAAAGAAATAGAAGAGATTTTTGAATACGGTGTAGAATTAGTTTCTTTAGAAAAAGATAAATCTATAGATTATTTATTTGCTATATTACAAGTAACTAAAAATTTACATTTAGAATTAAAAGAACAGATTTTATATAGATCTTTAATTTCAGAATTTAGAGAAGAATATTTTATAAATAGTTTTGATCAGATATTTTTATCAGATCTAAAATTAAGGATTGAATTAGATAATATTGATAATAATTATTTATCAGATCATACAAATTTTTCATTAGATTCTTTTTATTATTCAGACTAGAATTTTAAAACTGGATCTTTTAATAAAAGAAATTAATAAATTAACTGGAGAACTTAGTACTCTAGGAAAAAGAATCTTTAATATTGAAAAAGATATTAATAAAATTTGTGAAAATTTAGATTTTATTAAAGAACAAAATATAACAATTTTAAATAAAATTTCTAGAGTAGAAGATAAAGAAAAATTTACAGATCTTAAGACTACAGAGGCAATAGAAAATATAAATAGAAAATTAAATAATACAGAAAATAAACCAACCCAAGAAGTAGAAAATATAATAAATAAGTTAGATAGATTAAGTTTAAAAAATACAGGTAAAGAAAAAATAACTAGAAAATTATCTACAACATTTTATAAAGTAT